AAAAAGGGACAATTCAAATATTTCTCATTTTGTACCGGGCTATATTTGGAAACAAAAAACATCACAGTATGCAGGAAAAACAGTTTTTCCTTTTTTTTTATACATGGATGATGTAGAAATAAATAACCTCTTAGGGTCTCATTCAATGAATCAGTCAATATCAGCATTATATTATAGTTTTCCACTAGCAGAAAACAGTTCAAAACTTTCTAATATTTTTTTAGCTGCCCTGATAAAAACCATTGATTACAAAAAATTTGGGAATGAACTATGCTTAAGAAAATTAATTACAGAGATAAATATATTTGAAAAGGAAGAAATAAATATTACGACACATGACAAGAAATTTAAAATCTACTTTATTCTAGGATTAATATTGGGTGACAATTTAGGATTAAATACTATGCTAGATTTTAGCAAATCATTTTCAGCTAACTTCTATTGTCGATTTTGCAAAACAAGTAAATCTGATGCAAAAGGACTTTTTGTTGAGAATAAACAATTAATGCGTACAGTTGACAACTATGCTAATGATGTAAACACAAATGATTTTCTAACTACTGGAATTTATAAAGAATCGATTTTAAACAAAATTTACAGTTTTCATGTAGTCAGTAATTATTGTATTGATATAATGCATGATATTTTCGAAGGAATATGCCACTAAGACTTATGCCATGTACAGTGGCGTATACAAGGGGGTTCGTGGGGGTCAAATCCCCCCCCCATTAGCTTTTTATTATTTCATTATTTTTTGTTTTTCCTTATATTATATAGTATGCACTATAAAAAAAATGTTGTGATGTGAATCTATCGAGCTATTGAATTTTGAAAATTTAGTCAACACTGAAAACCATTATAATTTTATTTTCGTTTATTTATAGCAAAGTAATGTTTATTTGGTATTTTAGTCGAAATGCCAATGACGACTATGATTATACTTTATTATAGCTTATCTTATAATTTATAGAGACAATACTATGTATATAACAATATGTATGCAACCTGGGCTTCCACTGAATGTCCGTGTTTAAAATATCGGATACTATCGTTGTTAAGAGAAAAGAGAATGAGATCATTATCGTTACGGATTTAGTTCACCGCGTATACATAGTACATTCTATTTATTTATCTGAAACCTAAAAAAAAAAAAAAAGAAATTCATGGAATAATTGATAATTTATTGAACCTATCATGGATTCGTGGAGAAACATAGTTCATAATTGTACCCACATTTACAAAAATAGCAGTGTCGTCAGACGTCAATGCAACATTTCGATTACCGAGTATAAAACACTACATCAATTAATCTATTTTAGTCTATTATAATTATAATTTACGTTATTATTGTACTCGGTGCGCACTGAATACAAATAATACGTCAAATTGAAAACGATTTAAATATAACTTTTACTGTATTATTTATAAACATGGTCTACAATATATTCAAACCAACTAGCATCTGACTACACGCGACAGTGAATAAAAATAATAAAATTATTAAACAATTAAGTTGATAACTATAACATTGTTATAACTTATAATATTAGTTATTTAGTTATTACTTTATATAGTAATCAAACATGAGTAATAAAAGAAAAAATAATACTTTATTTTTATATTTCAATAAAAGTATAAAGTCAACTGTCGATTCAGATCCAAATGATCCACAACCTGCACCAAGTCAACAAAAACATACAGACACAGTAAATTTGGTGAGTAAAAAAATTGTATGCTTGACTATTTGACTCATCTGAGTCTTTAAGTCTCCTATTTATGGGTTTCTAATGTTTCTATAAACAATATTATGTTATAATTTTTTTTAAGACAACATTTTCATTAGCAAGGGAAAATGATAATTGGTTTGTTTGTTAATTGTGATTTGAGTGATACTGATAAAAACCTAGTAAGTTATTTAATTATATACAAATAGTATTGTACTATGATATTTAAATGAATCATTTTTTTAAATTTACAAAATAATAAAATACATTTGTTTATAGATTAGTGAGCATAACGCAGAGGCAAAACACGAAAAAACACAGCACGAATAACGGTAGCATTCTGTAAGTGACATCATGAATGTATTTTCCCCACTCCCATTTTTTCATAAATTCCGAAGTGAGGCAACCTATATATTTTAACAACCTTGGTTCTATCAGACCAAGATCTATAAAGAAGTATATGAGTGAACTGAAAATGGTTTTATAATTATTAATTTGTCACAAAATTTTAAATTAAATTTATCACTATACTACCTTCTGGTTTTCAATAATTATGTCATTAGTCATTGTTCGAAAATGTCTTGTTGAAGTCTTTTCAGACGATTTTCAGAACGAATAGATGGGGATTCATCATTTGCCAACAGTTTTAAAGATGGAACAGCTTCATATCAACAACAAAAGCAAATGATAAATAGTTAATTTTTAATTTTTTAAATCTTTTACTATAGATATAGGTACCTAACTACTTAAAGATGTATTTTAATTTTAGAATTAAATTCATTTTTTGAAAAGTTATGCCAAGTACAGAATAGGTCAAACTAGTTAGTTGCATATTATTCATAGAATTGTGTATAAATTTATATTATCTAACTATGAAAAAAGTACTATTAGGTAAATAGGTACTTAATTTTATATCAGATATTACCTATATTAATAATTGTCACTCTTACCTGATTTTTTTAATTGTCTTTTTACTTTTAAGTTAAGCAATTCAGCTTTCAAATTTCTTTCAAAATCATCAGCGCTAAAGTGTTCAGAATAAATATGAGATGACTTAGGATTAAATTCGTCTGCTAGTTTTGTTTTCAAAATCCATGTTTTTAAACGTGACGCGGCACACTCGATAACGGTGGTGGGTGCGCACGTGTCGCTGGTGCGATGGGTACCGTTTTGTGTATGGTATAATAAGAATAATAATAATAACAATACACCGTTTACCACACTGAACTTATGAGGTATATATTACACGAATAAAAAAAGAATGGTCACAATGGTTGTTATTTATAACAAAAAGATTGACGAAAATCGCGTGAAGAGATGTGTCTCCGTACACGGTATCGGAAAAACAGCACGGTTACGTGGTGGTACCTGTCGGACGTCGTAGCGACCGCTCACGTCCCCTGTTCGGTGATGGATGGGAGGACGGGGTGTGGCTGCGACGTTGCGTGCCGCGAAGTGGTGGTTGATGAGAGAGATAAGGACACGGTCGGCAACTGCAGTTTCGGTAACGGTTGCCGCACGGGTCTGCGTCATACTCCCCCGCCAAACCACCAGTCGCGATACTGCTCAAGTTTGGTACGCTATCTCCCCGTGACTGTTATGGTGTTTCGTCCATCGGCAATGTCCGGACTTATTGAGTCGGGTCGCCGACTAACTGTACCTCCATTGTGGTGTTCCCCAGTCGTGGTGGGGACGACGCCGAGGCGTGGAGACGATGTCCAGTCTGTGGTAGACGGGTCGTATCCAGCCATGGTGTCTAATCCGCCCTGGGGGACGTGAGTGGTGTGGAGAACACGGGCGGGCCTTCCTCAATGTCCGGGAATGTTGGGAGTGGTGACCCGGGTTTGTCGAGGATTCGGTCATCGACCTCCATCGCCTCCCCCGAGTTGGTGTCTTGCTCCGGTCGGTGTTCCTGGGCGGAACTACCTGGTACCTGTGTTGACACCTGCACCGTCTCCCGACCTTTCGGATCGGTGGCCGGCCCTGCCGGGGGAGTCGCCTTCGTCAGCCGGTACTGCTGACTCGGGCCTTCCCTCTCGGCTTTTGCCCGCAGTCTCCTCTGCCGCTGGTGTTCTCTCCTCCGCTCCTTGGCCCGTTCTGCCGACCGCTTGGATGTTGCCGGTGTGGCTGGCTTCGCGGGCTTTGGCCAGGGCTCCAGTGGTCCTGGCTTGTCGGATGGAGGTGCAGGTGGTGGCGTCGGCAGGCGGTCCACGTATTCCACGCGGCTCGGCATACCCGTCCACTCCGTCGTCGGTGGGTGCGGGTCCGCCGGTGGCATCCTGGGCACTAGCGGACGTCCCGGAGCCGGTCTCAATCACGGCGCGGCAGCAGTGGCCGTACGGAGCTAATGTCTTGCCGTGGTGGGCTTGTGCTCTGTTTGGCGCCGCGTGTTGTTGGTGTTGTACGGACGGCCGGTGCTGCGCTGATTGCTGGTGTAGCACACCCCGACCCCATCGCCTTGGTGGTTGGGACCCGATGGCGGGTCGACGGGCGCGGTGGTTTCGGTGTTGGTGGAGTGGCCGGTGACCTCACCGCCGAGGAGCCGAGGGACCTCACCAAGTCGGTGGTCCGGTCCGCCCACCCCCGAAAGTAAGCTGCCCAGAGTAGTGGCTCAGCCCGCAGTTGAGCGACTCCCGCCTTCCGGACGTCGTCCGCTATGCAACAGTTCCCCATCGATCCTTGCACCGTGACCGCCTCCTTGACTTTTTCCAGCATCTCCACAACCTTGGAGGTGTCCATTACTGGTTGTTTACGGTGACTGGAGGTGATGCTAAAAAACGCGCAATTGTGTGTGTAATTAATGGTGTGCGCGTTTTAGGCAGGACACGTGGATTTTCCTCGGCGGTTGCTGATCGGTTAAGAAAACTCCTTTACCAATCCGCTTGTCCAGCCTTACGGGGCCCCACCATTTCGGTGCGAATCCCGCATGAAATCCCTTGTGCGCCTTGGACAAGTGATGGGCCTTATATAGTACCATATCTCCCTCCGAGAATTTGCATTTCTCGGCCACTATGTCCCGGTTGTGTCTGCCTGTGATTTCTACCTCCCGCTTAAGTCTATCCCTGTTTATTGGTTCGACCTGCGTATGTGATTCAGATTGTAGGGTCCAATCTCCGGGTCTTTAGCACTCGCGTCCGAGTATTAACACCGATGGTGGATATCCTGTCTGTACATTGCGCCGGTTTCGAATAGCAAATAAAATGGGGACTAACTTCGTGTCCCAGGTGGTGTGTTTACCGTTGGTGAGTGTCGTGCGTAGTCCTGATTGCGGCGCTCGACCGGGTTGGCTCTTGGGTGATAGGTTGGGGTGGTCCATCCTTCCGCCCCCCATTGTTCAATCGCGCTAAGCATGTCGTTTGACACGAACTGGGTGCCGTTGTCACTGAGACAAACGCGGGGGTAGCCGAAACGTGAGAAAAATTCTCGTTCGAGCGTTTCGGTAATGTTTTTAGTAGTTGCTGTTCCGAGCGGGTATGCCTCGGTTCATCTACTGAAGCAGTCGGTGTTTACCAAGATATAGGATTTTCCTTTACTCGTGTGAGGATAGAGTCCATTAAATCTATACTGATAACCTCCCAGGAGTGTCGGGGTTTCCTGGAGTTGGTGGGGTTATTCGACCGTGAGTTGAGTGGTTTAATACATGCACATATGTGACATGACTTGACATACAGCCTCACGTAGTTTTTGAGCCCCTTCCAATAGAAACGGTCCCTGACTGCCCGGTAAGTTTCTTTCCACCCTGGGTGACTAGCCGTGATGTGGTCGTCATACCTCCAGATCACCTGTTGGGATTGGGTTTTGGGTATCACGATTGATAAGTGGCCCTTGACGTTTTGCCGCAGGAGGCCATCCGATAGGACAAAAGTGTCCGTATCTTTCGTGGCGCTTCTGGTGTTACGTGCAAGGGTGTCCGACTTAATTGTGTTGATGATGTCTCGCGTCTGGGGGTTGTTGGACTGCCAAGACACGAGTGTTGTGGTAGAAAACGGGACGTCAGGAAGTACGTCGACCGTTTCTGTTGTGGCAAAGATATTATCAGCTGGGGGTTTAGTAGTGTTGGTGGGTGGTGATGTGGGTACCCCTACTAATCGCTCCTCAATGATATCATGCTCAGTAAGCTTGGTTCTGCCGACCCGGTCGCTACAAACAGCCGCGTATTCGTTCAATACAGTGGTGGAATTTGCGCGCGTTTTCGGGTGTCCGGAGATTTCCAAAGCTGATAAATCGGGGGTTGTGTTGTTGGGTGCGGTGCGACCTTTCCAACATGTGGTGGTCCTCTTTCTAGCGCCCAGGTGAATAGTGCATGTGGCGTAATCCCAAGAGACTTCGTGCTCTACGAGGAAGTCATGTCCTAGTAATACGTTGTAATACAGTTCATCCATTATGGTCGCTTCGAAAGGGATGGTGAGGTCCCCGATTTTGGCTTCGAAGGCGGCGGTACCACTTGTGGAGGTGGTATGTCCATCCGCCATTCTAACCAGTGTGGGTAGTCCGTTTATGGGTGATCCGAATTTACGGGCTATGGTTGGGCTTACATACGATTTTTGGGCCTGTGAGTCTAGAAGTGCTGTTATGAAACCAAAAAAAAAAAAAAATGATAGCATTGACGTTCATCCATATTTAAATTCAATTGTTATTGATTTGTTACCTAGTTACCTATAAGCATTGATTATAGAATAGATAGATAGTCCATGGTATAGAGATATTAGGCTACTAAAATTATGTTTGTTCTAGCTGCCGATAGAATGCGTTGTATAATAGAAAAAATAATTATTTTACAATCTGTATAGATAAATACAGAACAAGCGTCGAGCGCTGCCGCACTGAGCGGGGCGGGCCACGGGTGCTCATAACTCAGTATTGCATTGCGCCATTGCGGTCAGAGTTATTTATACATTTTATTGATATTTAATTCCTAGCACTCGTACCTAATGATTTACTATTTTAAATGATATGATTAAATTGATAATTAAATATGTGTTAAGAACCACTATATTATATTGTATTTGTTGGAAAACACTATGTGTTTGAAATATATTATGTTAAATATTGTAAACTGATGCGTGTGCGACGAAAGGCGAGTGAGACTCCCTACCCATACGACTGGTCTAAGGAATCTGCTGAATAAACCCTTTTGACCGGACGACCAGCTCGTACACAAGGGCTCACACACGTAGTAGTAATTACTTCCATTTTCAGTAAAAAAAAAAATATATATAAAATAAAACAGTACCAATGTCGATGAATGATAGACTCGGAAACGAATGTCGAGCAACAGTCCGTAGGATTGGAATGACAAACTATACTTGGAAAGTGTAGTGGTGCATATATACACATAGGAAACCACGAGCCCTAAGACGAGCCACGCCGTGATATACTGGCTTTATATTTATTTTGAGTGTACATTGAAAACATTTTTTTTT